TTTTTTTTTTTTTTTTTGTCACAGAAGCAGTTGAGGACTGAGGAAGCAAAAATTGTTCAAGAGAAAGCTGCCAAGATCAAAGAGTGGGTAACTTTTAAGCTGCGAGAGGTGAGTCTGCAGCCTCGTGCCAGGCTCAAGGCACGGTTGGTAGCGTGAGGCGGGCGGTCAATCTGTCACAGGGGCCTTCAGCCTCCTGGGTGTCACACGTGGTTGCTGGGCTGGAGATGTATGTGTGCCTGGGGTCGGTAGGTTGCCTTGGACAAGCTGCAAATGACTGCTAAGTCACTAATGCCAAAAGCAGTCTCTAAAGAAAATTGTCCTATTTAATGGGCAGAGGGGGCTTCCCCCAATTTTCCTTAGCCCCTACCTTTTTCTCTAGGTGTAGTTTCTGCCCCTCTTTCTGTGAAAGCAGCTGTGATACAACTGCTTCAAACTTTGCTTTTCCTTAATTTGTCATCCCTGACCAGTGCTGTTTTCCTCCTGCCCAGCGTCGTCGCCTATAGTCTCTCCCATTTTATCTGTCCTGTGGACCTAGGCCTCCATAAGGGTCCATTCAAAACCCTTTAAGTGGCTGAGAGAGAGCACAGGGTCAGCACACAGATTTAAATATGCAGTAGTAGTTTACATCTGGGAGTGAGACTGCCCGGTCTTTCTCTCTTTTCCAAGTCAAGCAATAAATTTCCCAGCTTATATGAGAAAGGGGATATGCTGGAGTCAGACAGCAAAGAAAAGTAGCCTGTGGGGTGTCTTAATTTCTTTAGATTGCCCTTTTAGCACATATGAGTTGAAGGAAAAAATGCAGCTCTGGGTTTATAGTTATTTGATTCCCTTTTTCATAACAACTATTTCTGAAAGAGTAAATGATAAATAGTAGCAGGGAAGAAAATGAAGACCTGTATAAGGAGTATAAATAGTTTTTAAAAGGCTGTCTGAGAGGGGATGGCAAAGCATAGGTGAGTGTTCAAGGGAGCTGTGGAGGAGAGCTCCAAGGCAAGTTCCAAGGTTTGGGTAAACTTCACCCATTCTCTTCCCTTTCCTATTCTCACTTGAATGTGAGTAGAGATGAAGGGTTGTCCTGAGGAGTGGAATGCACACATGCTTTCTTCTTATTATTTTTCAATTTTTATTATTTTATTATTATTAATATTTTATTTCGTAGCTTGAGCTAGAAAATTTCCACCTGAAAAACTGTAATCAGAGGCTGATGGAGCAAATCAAAGCCCTTCAGGAAACGTTGCAAGGTAATTGTGTTCACCTGGCATTGTAGCCTTCACTACAAGAATAGAAGTCAAGATTCCTGGGTTGTACTCTTAACTGTGCCATAAATCAATACTTGTGACAGTGAGCAAGCAGCAGAATTACTCTGTTCCTCAGTGGGCCCATTTTTAAAATTGGAATAATACTGCTTACCTACCTCAAAAGCTCTAATTAGTCTCCCATCAGGGACTGCACATAGACCCCTTTTTTTTGAGAGTCTGCTTGCCACTAAAGTAAAATATTTAGCTCTTGATTTACAGGCATTTACTGAAATTCATTCATTCAGAACTCTCCATTGACATCAGTGCCACAGGATACAAGCCTCTAAGGAATTTGACTTGACCTCCACGCACAGACAATCCCTATCCTCGAAGAATTGTCATCTCTGCTGACGTGTGAGCTGAGTTACTTTAGATGGAATGAGCCAAGGCAGCAGCTGCCTCTTCTGCCTTTAGAAGCTGCACAGTTCTTCTGTGCTATTGGGTTGGAGTGGAGAAAGCAGTGCACAGTGCTTGTGATATTGCAGTTCTTGTTTGGTTTATAGATGGAGGGCTTTAGTCCCCAGGGCTTGAAATCAGCATCTTTCACCATAACTCATTTTTATGAGGAAATTCTCTCTTTTATTTATTTATTTTAACTTGATTTCATTTAGTTGTGTAGCGTGAGGTGATTTCACTGGGCATGCGTGCAGGGGAGATGTCTGTCCTGCAGAAGCATCTTTCTGACATTCCTTTCCTTTCACAACAAGGGAACAGGACAAAATTCCTGCTAAATCCAACCACGTTTCTAACTAAATGCTTTGTGAGTGGGTTTTTTCTTATCCCCTCTGGCTGTGGCTGCTTGCAGAAAGAGAATGGCTGGTAAGCTGCGTTAATAATCTGGTATTAAGTGTTCCTGGATCCCAGCTCTCTGGGTAGTAAACAGCTCTGCACTGTCCACTCGCTAGTCTCAGTGTGCCAGGCTAAACTGAGAGGCCTCTGCAAAGTGACAAATCTCCTTTTGCTTGCCATGCTAATAGTAACAGCTTCATCTGCTTTGTTTCCTGGCACATTTGGAAGCTACAAGCATAGCAACAATATCTAAAATTAATTCCTGTAATATTTAAGATGAATGGCCCTTTTTTTCCTCCCCTGTCTGTGCTAATGATTTACCTCAGGGATAGGGAAGAATTTGTGCCAGTGCTTGTGTGCCAGGACTATGTGCTAGGAGTAAATATATTAACATTCAGTTCCTTGAGCCTCAAGAGACAAGGTCAGGCACTGATGGTTGTCTTTTCCTCAGCTGTGTTTCCAAGTGTGTTGCATTCTCTCCACAATCAAGTGATGTGTTTTTTTTTTTAATTTTTTTTTTTCCCCTTCTGTTTGGCCTTCCCTCTGTTTCTCTGTACCTTTGGTTTACTTCTACTTCCTTGTAAAGCCCAATAGTGGTGTCTGTACAGTTGGATGTTCAGGCAGCGTTTTCAGTAACAGCCCTATAGAATCACACTCATCCCTATTTGTGCAATTTCCAAAGTGTCGTAAAATGTGATTCTCTTCAGTGTGATGATACATAAGTGCACAGATCAGCTAAAAACCTGATGTGCCTGGCCTCGAGAAACGTAGGGACCTTTGCTTCTGAATCTTCTTTCAGCCTCGCAGGAGCTCTCATGTTAGATGCACTGTGGAATGGAGATGGGGCTGAAGGCATGGCCATGCTCTTGAGTATTTTGTGTCCATCTCAATCCATAGAAGTTAGACTGGCATTATGCTAACTGTGGCGCATTTCCCTAAGCTTAGTGCTAGGAAGGCCTGTGTGACCAAAACACACAGTAAACACAGACAGGTTGAGTTGATTTATCTTCAAGAAGAGCTTGTGGTATTCATTTGTCTGAAAACCCTATGTAAACTTGGAATATTTTTTACCAAAATATTCCTTTATAATGTAAAGACAAATTCTGTACATCTTCTGGGGAAATGTCTCAGCTTAGTGACTGCAAGGATGCTACAGGAGCTTGCCACGGGGCAAGAGGCATGTGGCTTCAGCACTGGTGTCTTTGGTAAATAGCATCTTCTGCTCCTTCAAGTTTTATCCACCTTTTTCCATACTATAATGAAAAAAAACACTGGAGACGAGCAAGTCCACCATACTGCCTTTTAATATACCGGCTGAAGGGGCAGAGGAAAAATTCTGTAAATTTTAAACATATTGCTTGATCATTTTGTTAAATATCCCTTAAGTATCCTTCCCCGTAAGATAGACCTTTGCTACAGCTGTTTCCAGACATCTCTTTTCTATTTTATAGAGTCCTAACCTGGCAAGGGTCTCTCCACTGGCCTATTCCAGTATGTCTGTTGTCAAAATAAGCCTAGAATGAGCAACTTATTCTGACGAGTAATATTTGTGAGTGATCTAACCATTATCTTTCCCTCCTCTGTAGATATTTCCAGAATTCCTCACTTTGAATCTCTCTGGAGCTATAATTCTGTGGAGCCTAAAACACCACACACCTCTTTCCCTGAGAAAACAGAGCAGAACTCTGTGCTCCTTGCACCTGGTTTCAGACAAGCATGTCAGACAGCATCTACAAAATATGTCATATCTACAGCAAACTTGGTCCTTGCCAAGGACACTGAGGATGGAGAGGATAAGTCTCTGCTTTCCCAGAGCACAGTGCGACTCGTGGCTGACCCATCAAGCTGGAATCTCTCCACAGAGAAGGACATATTCCCTACAATAAACTCCAAACATAATTTAGGGTACTCTGATCCCACATCACTGGACCCTCCGTCTGAGCCCACGAAAATCCTTGAGTCTTTGACTTTCCAAACTTCTTCGGAGGGAAACCATAGCTCTGTGAGCACCTTGAAACAAATGACATTGAGCAGAGCCAGCTCCTCTGATGAACTGAGTGCCAGGTTCCGCTCCCACCGGCTGGACTCCACTTCCTCGGGAGAAATACTGAGCAGCCTCGAGAGCCACCTCCAGGCTGTTGAGCCTTCCCTGGTGGTATCAGCATCATCCGTTTCGTCACATCTTATCTGCCCAGCGAGGGAATGTGGCCTTGGCAGTAGTATGACCCTTCCAAAAACACGGGCAACCAGTACGGCGAGAGACAGTATCCAGCTAGCCAAGAGACACAGTCAGCCCCAGCCAGGAGCTGGTTCTTTCCACTGCATCATGAGCTTAAAGGCTGGCACCTTCCAGCCCATAACAACTTCCCCAGTCTGCCATGGGCAAGTAGAGGAGACAGACATTGATGATGATGATGATAATGATGGGGTGCGGGAAGAAATGGAGACAGAAGGTGGACAGGTGAGGGGAGAAGCTGGAACGTGTGAGGAGGTCAAGCACTTACCTGCGGGGCAGAAGGAAGCTGCGAGTTCTGAGGCTGATGCCCTCAATCCAGGAGGCAAACCTCCCCCGCCGCCGCTGCACAGATTCCCATCGTGGGTAAGAAATGCAAGGGCACCAGTAGAGGAGGGGCTGTCCATCTCTTAGTGATCTGTGGCTAGGCTCGAACTCTTCTTAGCTTCCTGGTGACGTCAGTCTCGTTGTTGAACTGCCTGCTCAGCCGATTTCAGATTGTGGAGTATGCTGGTTCCAATGAGATTTTTCTTCTTTTTACAAGGAAAAAAAGTTTCATGAAATAAAATTGTGCTTAAAACTTAGTGAGAAAGAAAAATTATAGTTAAGAGGTGCTGCACTGTGGTTGAAATTTCATCCTTAGTTCACTTCTTGTGTGTTTAAGGTAGAAAATGTGAGTAATGAGGGTATGTGAAAGGCCTGCACCAAGTAGGTTCAAGGTCAAAGAAGCTGTAAACTGTAGAATACACATAGAAACTAGACCTCACCATTCCTGTTTCTTTCTATCAGGAAAATACTGTAAAACCTACTGGTGAAGTATGTCTACATGTCCTTCTGTTGCTTACTTCATGTGTGAGATAACAGTTTATTCTTATCACCTGTTTGTTTGAATGGTTGAGGTGTTTGCTAGTGTGACAGTCCAACTGATGAACTGTGGAACTCTGATGAACTCAAGAGACAGCTCAATTATTTCCAATGTGCTTTTTTTAAATACACAGACAAAAGGTTTAAGATGTGAATTCAAGTGGTCAATAGTAATATTCATATTTTCCAATGTGTTTTATTTCGTGTGAATTTTTAACTCGGTCTGCCATCTTTGTATGTATCCTTTGTGATGCATAATTTATCTCTATTTTCTAGAGTTGAAAAAAACCTCTTTTTTCAAAGAAATCCTACTTCACTGCACACATATTATGGAATTCTTATAGAGATGCAGCTGGATAGTATAATAAGAGACCAATGCTTTCAAGACCTCTGTTTTATTTGTTGCAGAATCATGTCATGAGCCATGTACTCCTTTGGAAGTAAGGGTTACTTTGGTTTCTGGTCTAGAGTTCCTGTGTAAGGTTTTTCTAGGCCCTTAAGCTGAACTTATTCACAGGTGATCGTCATTTCTTCTGATTATCCAAACTGAGTTAGGCAAGTAGATTCATTCAGAGAAGTGCTGAGTGCTTGTCTGCTAACTTCAACTGTGTTTCAACACTGTTAAATAATACTAAATTTTCAGAAAAGTCAGGTTCTGAACATCTCCAAATGAGTACTCTAAAGACAGTGTATACTTTAAAGAATGTAGGCTTGGGTTCCTCTTATGGTAAATGGAGATACCACCTCCTCATGTTTCTCCCGGGGATTAATGCTTATGGAGCACTGCAGTGCTACAGTCAACACCACATGAAACCTCATGAGAAAATCCACTATTTTGTCTTCAGAGTCATATAAATATACCTAAGTAGTGCGTATTTAAATATAATGGTCAATACGAAGTTGAATATTAAATAGCAGCTTGCTTAGTAAGAAATACCTGTTATGTGACCTGAGTAGGAAGTGTCTGTGGAAAAAGTTATGCATAATATTTCATTATAGACTAAGTCATAATGCATTCATGTACAGAAAATACCAAGTCTGTTATACCTTGCTTTGGTGTCCTTGATTTTTGCAGTCTGTAGGTAACTTGATGTGGATGTATTATGCCTGTTATCTGATGATGCTTGCTTGCTTTTAGTATCTTCTAAGAAGCAACAGGAGGATTCAGATTCCTAGCTTTGATTTTTTTCCCTTTCAAATTGGTTGATTTCTTGGGCATAACACAGCATTATTTTCAGGTTGGAGTTCCCCCCGGGATTTTTATAGTTTTTGAAGCATTTGAAGGTCCTTTGAACTGAAAGCCCCATATGTGATTATGGCTGAGGCTCAGGCTTACCCAGATTATTCCCAGCATTGCTGCCATTTCCTTATCGGAGACTAGGATGGTGATGAATTCTGTACACTGACCATAATTAGGACTCTTTTATTTTAATGCTTTGTTGATAAAAAAGAAAAAGGCAACTTTTTTAGCTGTGATGCAGTCATGTATTGGCACTTGTATGTAGGTATTCCAGGCTGTGGATATGATCTTCGTAGCACCTATAAGCCAGTTCTGTTGTGTGAGAGTCAGGGAATCACTCAGAGGAGCATTCCCATTGTTGGTCATTCACCCAGCATCTGGTGGATCCATCCTTCCTGCCCAGAAGATTATAAGGTTGTGTGACGGGAGAGTTTCTTTTTGCAGGAATGGTGTTTCTGGCTGACTGTTGCTGTTGGCCGTCTCGTTTCAGGAGAGTCGCATCTACGCGGTGGCCAAGTCTGGCCTGAGGTTGTCTGAAGTGGCCGCAGTGAATGAGGCTTCCAGCTGCTGTAAGTTCCAGGCAAGATGCTTCCCTGGAGGGGATTTGCACTGACACTGTGAGACCTGAGCTTCCATCTGTTCACGTGTCTTCCTTCTGTTGCTTGTTTTCAAAGCAAATTTGAGTTTGCAGGTAGCAATGATAAGAGGGAAGGGAGGAAGATGTATCTGGACTTGGGGATGATCACTGCTGGGCTGTATGAGCTCCTACTTTCAGTAACATCTTTAGGAGGGCTTCTTGCTATCCTTTTCACCTTTACTGAAACTGTATTGCCACCTCTGTGTCTGTGATCTGCCTTTGGTCTTTCTGCTCCACCATCACTTTCCTGCTTTTGTGAACTCTAGCAATTTACCAAGCTGGGAATGGAAAATAGCCGGGAAGCAGCCCTCTGAAGCAAGGAACAAATTACCCAGTGTGGCTTTTACATGTTTGGACACAGCAGTCCAGAGGGTGTGAAACAGGAAGATGAAAGCTGTTACCAAGTCGTTTGGATAGCTCTAAGGCTGACCTGGGTGAACCATGGTTATCCTGTTACTCGGGCGAAGTTCCCTTGTGTCTCAGTTAAGCTGGGATCACGGTGCTTTCTTACTGTTAACACATTGAAATCACCTCACCTGTAATTCTTACTGTGAGGTGCACTCAACTGCTGTTGCACCATGGGGCACAGAGGGTGGGTAAGGTATCTTATAGGTTAGATAAAGGAGGCATTGCAGCCATCCCCAGGAGAAGCAGTAATTAATAACACCTCCTCTAGCCTTTGTGAGCAGAACTGTCCAGGATGGCAGTCATCTTTTACCAGAGGCTTCAAGAAGCTATGTTAGTTTTTACACAAACATGCATATAAACCTGCTTAAAACCTTCTCCTTTTCATTAGTTTGATTGCTCTCTTATTAATCCTAATCTCTTTGTATTATTGCTCTCACCTCTCTTTCTGAATTTTCCCAGTTTCGAATTTCTCACGTGTGGCTTCTGGGCCGTTTACCAGTCTCATCTACAGAAATGTCACAGTGCCAGTCTACACGACGCTGAAGGGGGTAAGGGCTACTTCCCTTCTGTTATGGAAAGAGTGGGCTAGGGCTGCCCCTGGTTTGAGAGAGGGTGAGACAGTGCTGTGCAGAGAAGGAAAGCAAGAATGCCAGGAAGGACTGGAGACCGAGAGAATTCAGAAGGAGAAGCAGATGATAAAAGCATGTGGAAAGACAGAACGTCACAGCAGGTTTGGGTCCAGGAAGTTGCAGTGTGCACCATGAGGCTTTAGGAACCCATGTGTGACAGTGGATGTAGCCCAGAGAGTGAAGTGGGAGAGGGGTCTTGACAGCTCAAGGGCATGCACTGAGCTTGTGGAACGACAGGAGCGGGTAACCAAGGGAGACCCAAAATAGGACTGGGCAGCCCAGTCTGGAAGTCCTTGGATTAGAAAGTGAGAATAGGACATGAAGAGTGCTGAGATAGTAGCAGGCAAGGTAGCATTAAAAGCAAGGGCCTGCTTAAATAGCACGAGTGGGTGGGTTTGTTGTTGTTGTTTTGTTTGTTTTGTTTTGAATTTTTGTTTGTTTTTGGTTCACTCTTCTTACCTCACGTGCTGACCGCGCAGGTCTGTTTTCCAGAAAGCCACGCAGATAAGCAACGTGCCCTTCTTAGATGAGTCTTCGGGCTCTGATGATGACTGCAGCTCCCATGCCAGCTTCAGAGCTTCTAACGCTGGGTCTGAGAACAGGAAAGCCAGCATGCCAGGCAGCCCTCGTGCAGTGAAAAGAGGTAAGGTGGGAGCTCCTACAAACGAGGCAAGATTCTCTGAACAGTGTGACCAGTAACAGACAAACGAATGCATAGTCTTTGTGATGCTAACGAGCAGGCATTTGCCAACATGCCTGCAGATACCAACAGTTGCTCAGTAGAAACCCAGCTTCCTGGTTTCTTTCCATCCAGATGATTGATAAGCTAAGATCAGGGGAAGGAGGGATTTCCCAAATTCATCACACACCTACTAGAGCATCCATAGCTTTTCTGTGAGTTCACCTTGAGAGCAAGCTAATACCACTGTGTTAGAGGAGAGACAGGGGGAGGGGAAAAAAAAGGGGGGGGGGGGGGGGGGGAGTTGTTCCTTTCACGGGCTGAGAATTTCTTGACCAGTAACCAAATATTTCTAGCCTTCAGAAGTCATGAAGTAATTTGAATCTTGGTCAGGGCAAGTTATCCTTGAGTGCTGGAGAGGTGAAATTAGATCTTGCAGTAAGATATTCATTGTTAGTCAACAAATATAATCCCACTGTTTGTAATATTAGCTTGCCTTTTGATGTGATGTATTGGCTGATGTGTCCTTGCAGTACCACAGACCAGTGGCAAAAGGTTTATAGAGAGCAAGGCCTCGTTGTTGATGTTAGAACCTTTCCCTTATTTTGAATGGGAGAGTCTTGAGGTTTCATAATGCATGTTTCTGAGCTGAAAACATCATGCCTGTGCAAATCAGTTGATTTTAATCTCTGTTTATTTAGCAGCAGATTACTTTCACTGTCCAAAGCCAACCTCTAACTCTTTTCTGCCTCTCTTGTGCACACAAGAGAGGCTGGGATGAGGGGCCAGAGGCTTGATTTGTAAGCTTGAGTATCTGTAGTTACAAATAAGATACATTCTTATTTCTTCCTTTTGAGCCAAGAATCTTAAATGGTGAATTTAAAAACTCTTCCAGAGTGTGCAGCATCAGGTGAAATTCTGTCTCCCCATGATTCCCATCCTTTTCTTTATTTTGAGCAGGTGTTTCCATGTCCTCACTGAGCTCCGAGAGTGATTATGCCATCCCTCCTGATGCCTATTCTTTGGATGGTGACTATTCAGAGCCAGAGCATAAGCTCCAGCGGACGTCCTCCTATTCCACTGATGGTGGGATTTGCACTGTAGGTCTTACTGCCTTGCAGCAGTAGTAGTTGCAAGGCACACAGACAGAACCTTGTCTTTGAAAGAAAACACAGAGCTACAATATATTGAGTTATTTGCTGTCATCCTACTTGCCTTATCCTACTGTTGGTCTAGCTGATTTGAAGTAGAAAGGGGTTGTATTATATACCGCTCAGTTAGCATGATAGCCTGTACAGTTTTCCTGTAGTGACATTCTCCTTTAACAATGACCTTGCACATTTGTGGCAAAACAAAACTTTCCAAAATTAGGAAATTTGGAGGAGGCAGGGAGAGAGGATGGAATGTTTTTTTCTAGAAAAAGCCCACAAATACAGGCAGTATTAACTTATAGTATAGTAACATATGGTATAGTACTGTGTATTCCTGAATGTAAAAGATGAAGCAGATGAGGAGCAGGAGTGCTTAGAGACAGACATCATTTGTATATGAGAAGCCATTGTCATGGTAGGAACAAAGTTTTCAGTGCATAAACAGTGAAACTAGCTTCATATGCCTTCCTTACTAACACACAACTTAGTGGTGTTTATACCTAAACAGATAATCTGGAGCCTTTCCAAGCCTCTGTTAATCCCATTTGGCAGTGTAGAGAGGCAAATGATTGAGATGCGGAAGATGCCCAAGCTTAGTTTCGGTAACTGCTTTTCAGTTGTGTTTTCAGAGGTTCAAGAGGAACCCCCTTGTTTTTTTGAACTCTAGGAACCTATGGAGAAGTCGGGTTACTTGCTGAAAATGGGCAACCAGGTGAAGATGTGGAAGAGGAGATGGTTTGTTCTGAGAAATAGGCAGTTCATGTACTACAAGTCTCCGGTGAGTTGCTGGAATACACGTATCCCCTTTCTGAGCCAGAGAGCGAAGGCTGTTTGCAGAGCTGCTTCATTCTGGCCTGGGCAGTTGCAGGCTGGTAATACTGGCAGAACTCAGCTGTGGGCAAACTTTCCCCCAAAATTTCTTGTGAAAAAACTTATGCCCCATTCACAGCTACCATAGTGGCTTCTTTGCTCAGGCAGAAAAGATGTTTGTGGGGACAGCTTCTGGAGCACAGAAGCTTTTTCACAAGGAGAGGAACTTGTGCAGGTGGCTGAAAACAGGAGGTGTGCCGTGGCCCAGTTTGGGTCAGGTTTGAGATGAAAACAAAGGAAAAATAACTGATAGTGGTATAGACTTGCACTCCTAAGTCAGGATGAAGGACTTTAGGGAAAACTATAACTTTTGAGGGGAATTAAAGCAAGGTTCCTCATTTCTCACGACCCACACTGATGTGAAAGTATTACAAAGTGGGTAAAATTTGAAAATAACCTTTACGTGAAATGTTTTTTCACGTATGATCGGTGCAACAATATTGAGAGAGCCTATTTGTCATTAAGCCTTTCCAAATACTTTTTATTACTTACAACTATTTTAAATAGTTAATACTTCCACCTGGACATGCATATGTCTAGAACCTTATGGATTTTACTTAAGTGCTTGAAGACACATAGATTTTTCTCTGAATAAGTTGTTTGCCTTTCTTCCTCTAGAGTGACGTTATCCGCAAGCCACAAGGGCAGATGGAGCTGAACTCCTCGTGCCAAATTGTCCGGGGTGAAGGGTCCCAAACATTCCAGGTAAAAGTTGCCTTTTGCAGATAACCATGTGCTCAACGGCTAGGTGAGAGGGACCTTATTTCAGAGTAAATAGTACTTTACATATCTGCTTAAAGGAGCAGGCTTTGCCTGGCTGCTGTATTTTGGGTTCTGATGTGAGCCAAGCAGTTAATTTTGTAAATAATAGGGAAGGATCACTGTAACGCAAACACTACTTTTTGATGTTGAAAGAGATTATGTTGTATTTGTGTTTTTCTTTTTTAGCATTCTAGACTTTCTTTCTTGTAGTTAGGATGGAGAGCTTGAAGCTGTGTAAGGAAAAGTGCTGCTTATAACATTAAAGCCAGATCATATCCAGGATCTCCTCTTAGAGTCTCCTCTCGCAAGATCTTCAGCCTGACTTTTCGTGTCAGAGGGATTTGAAACAACATCTAGAGTGTTGAATTTCCAGTGGAATTCAGTTTCTGAACATTAGAAGTTAATCCATTACAGGGTTCAATTTTTCAGTCGTAATTGTCAAAAGACTCCAATATAACGGAGTTATTGAAGTTTCTCTTATTCCCTGACTGAAAGGTTCTGCCCTTGTGAAAGAGAAGTTGCTGAGGCTTAGCACTTAAATTCATAGGGTCCATCTTCTCCAAACATCAAAAGCTGTTGAGAACAGACAACAATTCAAAGTGAAGACACTGACAATGCTTATAAGCAGCCACTATTACAGTGAAAAATTAACAGCAACACCAAGCAAAAAGACAGAACAAAAGAGGAGACAAAGAACACTGCAGTATCCAACAGAAAGAGCGAGGCAGCTCGTGAGGAAGTTGTTTCATCCATCTGCATTTTAGTCCTTTCAGTTGTGCCGTAAGGATAGCAACCTCTTTCTTATCAAGCATGTCCCCCACTGCTGCCATAAGAAATGAAACTCAACCCTCATCTCCTCACTCCTTTTTCTTCCAGCTTGTGACAGAAAAGAGAACCTACTTCCTGACAGCAGACTCTCCCAACATCCTGGAGGAATGGATTCATGTGCTGCAGAGCATCCTCAGGGTGCAGGTGACCAGTTCTGTTGGTGTTCCACGTAGTGATGCAAAACCTGTTGTGAAAGGTTGGTTAACCAAGGTAAGATGCTCTTTGGGGCTTTATTCAGTTTAGCTTAATACTGACAGAGTACCAATTTCCTGGTTTGCAGAGTAAATGTCTTCAAGGAATTAGTATTTTAATGTTGCCTAAAAGAGTGGGCAGAGATCTAAAAGTGGAGGTGTATTTCTATATTTCTGTATTTCAGATAAAGAAATTGTTGTATAAAAGATAAGGAATGGGAAAGACGAAGCTACTGGAACATACTGACTTTGTCAAATAGTAAATCAAAACAAACATCCAGCTTATGGATGTTTTTCTTCAACAGAACTCACAGAGCTTTGTAATGAAAAACAAACAATAGGAAACTCTGTTAAATGTAATATTTAACTGATCTGGACTTCATGCTGTGGAAGAGTATCAAAAAAAGACTTGCATGGATCTCCTAGGACATTTATTTCCATAATAACAAACTACAGGCCTCTTAGTAGTGTCTGGAAATTCTTATGTTTTTATGCCGTGTCCATAAACCAGTTTTGCATAGCAAGTTGCTGTGGACTTCTTATTTTTTTCCTCTATAAATCTCATCTGGCTAGTATGTGAATGGTGCCTACAGTTTGCCTACAGTTTACCTACAGTAGGAAGCAGCTGCCTGGACTGTGTGTTGGCTGGTCTTTTCCTGCAGTGATACACTAAATCCCTTTCACTATTTAAGTGGTTATTCTGACTGCCATATTTCAGAATAGGGTAGTGATGGGTTGCTGCGAGTAAAATAATTCACAAAATCTTAGACCCATTTCTGAAAGGCTCCGTATCACATCTACTGAGGTTGGAAGTACCTACATACTTTCGGAAGTGATGCCCTCTGTATTTTGAAAGGAACTGATACTACCATAGAACAAATAACATAGAAAACATTCCAACAGAGTTTTGAATGATGTGTGGAAATCCTAAGAAGTTGTCAGAAACATTGATGATTTTTAAAAATATATATATATTTCTTTGTTGTTCTTCTAGGTCAAACACGGCCATTCTAAGCTGGTTTGGTGTGCGCTGATTGGGAAAACATTTTACTACTATCGAAATCACGAGGATAAGGTAATTCTTTTTCATTCTGTCCTTGTACTCTTCTTTCTTACCCTGTGTGCTGCTTTCTGTGCTTTTGCCACTTCTATGCCTCATCCATCAAACTGTTTCTCCTCTGTACTTCTCCCCTTCTCCCTTTGCTTAGTCAGTAAGTTATGTTAAAATAATTTTTTAAAATACTGAAATGGAAAAGGTTTACATAGGAAGTGACTGCTCTTTCTCAGATCACGGTGTAATTTCTGCGTAATAGATTAGCCATGATTACTTGGCCTGCGTCTTCCCCTTAGTGTCCCCTGGGGCATCTGTGTCTGCGCGGATCCCAGGTGAAAGAGGTAGACCGCTCCTGTGACTCCGATGAGGATTATGAAGCTGCCGGTGGAGGCCTGCTCTCATCCCACTGCACCCTGGTGATTCACCCACAGGACCAGAGTCCCACCTACTTGCTCATTCGTACCAAGCAAGAGAAGGTATAAAGACAGAGAGAAGCACACGGGGCTGGTACCAACCACCATTAGCATGTGGGATGGGCCAGGGCCATACAAATAGAACCTACCTGTTGGACCCACATGGTTCTCCTCTTTATTCCTAGGATACCTGGCTGTACCATCTGACAGTGGCAGCTGGTAGTGGTAATGCCACTGTGGGCACGTTGTACGAACAACTCATTGGAAAGCTGCTGGATGCAGAGGGAGACCCTAGTAAGTAGAAATCCAAAACTCTCTTCTTCCCATAAGGAAGGGTTATTTCAATCCTTAGTTTAAATCGGCCAAAGATGAGGGAAGGGGATATCCCAGTACAACAGCAGCAAGATAGAGCGCCCTGCAACCGTAGTCCCACAGTAACCTATGCTGTGAATAGGGAGAATAGAGACAGTGTAGTGAAACAAAGCAAATCTATCCTGTCATTTATCAGGCACCTATAACTTCTATTACACTGTCTCACATATACGACAAACTGAAGCTTTAGTTTTTCCTGCAGTTGTTGATCCAGGTTTTCTTTTCCTGGGTGTCTTGCCTGTATACATATATGCACCCTCTACTAAACACATGCACTCACACGCACATATTCACATACACATCCGTTGCTCTGTCCACAGGTAAAACCCCCTCACAAGCTACACCCAAGCTCGTCTGTTCCTCCTCCTCTTAGGTACTCAACTATTTATGTCTTTAAGTACTGTGTTCTCAAATAATTAATGTATGCATTCATCCTGAGTACCCTTTCCCTCACACTCACATATTTTCACAACTATCCATAGACATTGCTTCATGTGCAACAGTAACTTGCACTAATAAAGATCCCTGTAGCATGTGCCTGCCTGGCGTGACTTGCATCTCTTGCTTGTATATCCAGAAGAACAATTTCTCACCAGAATCCAGCTGCGGGGAAGCTCTGGCACAGCAGGCTCGTGGAAGGCAGCACTGCTTTCTGCTGGCAGTTGGTGCTGCAGGCAGCCAAGCCTCTTTTGTGGCAGTCTCTGCTGAAATCAATGAAATGGCACCAAAGATAGATGTGGCCTAGTGTAGCACAGCTTCTTCTGGATGCTCTGCTGTCAGCAAGGTTCTTTGTCAGTGTGGGAACCCTAAACATGATCTTCTGTTTCTGATGCTGACCGTTTTTACACACCTATTGCCTCAGATTCTCCTCTGTGGAAACACCCCATGTTGTGCTACAGCAAAGATGGGTTGCACACATCCCTCACCACCCTGCCCTCAGAGGCTCTGCAGACTGAAGCTCTGAAGCTTTTCAAGGTATTTAAAGGGGCTTTTTGCCCAGTTGTTGGGGGAGATGATTCCTGGTCACAACAGTTATCTAGCAATCAATCTTAGTCACTTTAGTGACAATCTTAGTCACTTTAGACAGGCCTGCTGTGCTAATTAATTACATTAGATAGTTGGCTTATTGTGTCACTCATTCCCTAGGGAATTAACTTTTCTGTGTGGGGAGCCTGGAGGTGGAAGCAATGTCCCACACAGGCTGTGCACTTCAGAGCTAGCCTTCTTTCCCCTTCCAGTAGTCAGATTGAAAGAAACCAGCAATTTGCTACCAATTTCTCCAGTCATAAAGCCAGTGGCAGTTGGGCATTGGACTTTTGCATTCTCCAGGATCAGCACTGCCACTGGTCGGTCTTAGCAAGGTAGAGCACAAGCCTGGAAAGCAGGAAGCCTTTTCCTCTTGATTCTCTTGCTGAGCTCCTTAGACTGGTGTAGGCTTAGCATATTTTCCGGCTCATTTCTAGAGGGCAGGATAAAAATTTAGTGTTTATTTCCCCTTTCAGAGTTGTTTAGAAGAATTAATCAATTGTCTGTAACACTTTTGGGGAATTTGACTTAGAAAGTACCAGAGAAGCATTTCTGTCTGAATGGCACTGGGTAACTTCCCCCTTTTGCAGTCATGCCAGCTGTTCATCAACGTCCCCGTGGAGGCACCTTCTATTGATTACCACGTGTCACTTGCCCAGACAGCGCTGCAGGTCTGCCTGACACACACGGAGCTGCAGAATGAAATTTACTGTCAGCTCGTTAAACAGACCAGCTGCCGACAGCCCCACAACCACTCGGTCATTCAGGTGAGTTCCCCTTGGATGCTTCTGCTCTGCTAGTACTTGCTGTTTAATTCTGTGGTTTTAATAATTAGCAGTGAGAGTCATTCTTGGAAAACCTTGCGAATTTTAGAAGTCCTTTCTAGAGGAAAGACAATGACAAAGCTGACATACACAAAGAAACACCAGTGAGAATGTAACTATTTGTAAAACAGATTTTAGTTTGAATTTAGCCATTTACCAGTTGCAAATTGCAAATGGTCCGTTCCAACTATAATTGCCATCAAAATCTATAGCTTGTGTTGCCTGTTTACAGTTGTCACCTGATACTAATTTTGTCTTTAGTTTTATTCGATCAACTGCATGCAAGTCTTGAATATTACAACTAAACATAAAATTTTATTTTTGCACTTTTATTTTTGGGTAAATAGGATTTAAAAGTGATAACATGAACATTGATCTTGATTATAATCGTCTCAGTTCAAAGGAGCTTGAAAGATAAAATACAGTTAGGGAAGTACGTGAGTATTTTGAAACAAAATTTCAAAATGTAGTCTTTGTAATGATCTGACGTTACAGAAAAGGGGGAAAAAAAGATTGATTAAATAATTTTAGATGTTAATTATTCATTTAGCTCTGGTTACACTAGTCCAAATTTTCGAAAGTGGCCACTCATTTAGAAAGCTGCTTCTCAGCCCAGGTTCAGATGCTGAAAAGCAGCATGCCATCTTAAAACGATTTCCCTGTAAAGCATTTTGAGCTAAATGTCTAAAACTGGTCACTCTCAAAAGCACTGGTCACCACCCAGCACTTTGCTTACAGTATTAAAGTCAGTGGGCAGAAAATAAAGAACAAGAGTGATGTCCAGTTTTATGTTCCCAGTGCTGGCAGCTCCTGGCTCTGTGTGCTCCTCTGTTCCTGCCTCAACATCACTTTCTCTGGTACATCAGACAGCACTTGCAGCGGCACGCAGACCCCAGGTAAGGACTGCCACAGCACTTTCTTTTGTTAAATGCTGCAGAAACAGAAACAATTTTGGGATTCCTACCTGCAAGGTAAGTTGAAGACAGAGACAGAAATTTCTGCCCTGTGTCTCCACTGCCGCTCTTCAGTCATTCATGCTCATCATATCACTTAAGCTAGTCTGCAAAACTCAGTGAACCCTGTACTAGCTAAAGAACTTCCTACAGGTGTGATTGGAACCACCCATGGGTTGCTTTACCACCACAACTATTTTCTTTAATTTAGGTACAGACCAAAGTAATTGTTTAAACTCGATCTCAGGTGGTTGCCTTCTGCCTGCTGACAGAACAAAAAAGAGGCAAAGAATGACTTAAAAAGTTAGCAACAGCTAACAAACCCTAAACATACTCTACTTCCGTTTCTATTATCTCTTTAGTGCATTTAGTAACACTTTCCCTGGTGATTTAAAAAAAAAAAAAAAAAAAAAGCACAGAATCTACTGTAACAGCAATAAGCTGTTCTCTGGTATTTGTGCTTTGCTGTTTACGTGTTTCCATGGTGGTCTGGTCTTCAGTATGTCTCACTGTGCCACTATAGAGGTCATGGCTGTTGAGCCATCTAGTTCTCTATTGCAACAACATATGTTCAATGTGAAGGCCAGACGTAGCTCAAAGTGGTTTCATTTCAAGCAAATACTTGTCTTGAAACATTCAGCCTGTCTCAGAACTCAAGCTGCCGCTCTCGTGTTGCACAGAAAATCTGTGTATTCCTTGCGTGTGTGTGTATGTATATATATGTATAAATATACATATATATATATTTACTTTATTTTCTTTCATGTTGCCTTATATTCACTATTTCTTCTCAGGAGCAGAAATAGAGATGAGGACCTCTCAGTGTTCAGGCTGTCTCTCCATTGTTCAGCAATATTAGGATGCTCTCGCTAGGACTAGAGGACATCTGGCCAGCACTGTGGATTACCAGCTCACAAGCTGATTCATGCAGCTCGTTACAGGAGCTGCTGAATTAATTTTGAATTAGGTAGGGAGTTGTGAGTTCTGAAACCGATTTAGCACCTCTGCTTCAAGTATTACTGTGCTGATGGTCTGCCAGGTTCTTAGCCCCAAACCTTGTTTATCAACAAATAAGCACCAAGCATGAGCTAAGAGGGAATGTATTTATACGAACTAGCTATGAAACACACAATTACTCGGGTTAGAAACAAATAAACAGAGGCTAAAGCAAATTATACTCCTGTAGTTTAGATTACATTTAGAGTAGTTGCCAAATGAGATTAGATTAGCACCTTCTGCTTAGCTTTAGGACTAGTTACCTCTCTTCAGAGAGAGCAGATATGTCTGTTTCCTGACTAGCTAGACACAGATACTCTTTTTCTGTTTTATGTAGCAAAAGTGCTTGGATGTCTGTGCTGTAGCAAGCTTATGATCTAGGCTTACATGAGATCATCGTCCTAGGGTGGTGGTGGTGGTTTGTTTTTATTTTTTCAAGGAAGGTCACCTGAAAGAAGGATTTAACAGTGTTTTAGGCAAGAAAGAAACGTAGGCAATGGTCAATAGAAGCTGGTCTCAGCAGCCAGGCTCAGCAGCATTTGGGAGAACTTGAGATCAACACCTTGAAAATATGCGAGCAATTTGGGATCCGCAGGGAGTTGAAGCAAGATTCACCCTCTGAAAATTGCTCCTGGATCATAGTTCAGTCATGGTCAGGGAGCTGAGCAGCATCTTGCTACAGTGCAAAGCAAGCACTCCCGACCTGGTGTCGCTTGCAGAAATTTGACTGGAAATTTAATCACTTGCTAAGCTCCTGAAGGTATGTTGATTGGAATTGGTCCTCCTCCACAAAATAGAACAGTTACAAATCCTTATAAATCCTTGAGTTGCATTCTGTTTCAGAATTAATTTGCTATATACATTCTTAAAGTTATTTTTCTAAAGGCATAATGGACTGTTCCTGCCCAGCTTTAGGGGCACTTGCATCCTTTTGGTCTTGATTAGTGGAGCAATATCTTCACTAAACAGTAAATGGATATTAGTAATTCTCTGACACTATTTTTAACTATAAACAAATCTGTAGCCTACTTTGAATGAAATGTACTGAAACTTTTGCAGATTTAATCTCAACTCTTAGTCTGTTGGCATGAACTAGGCTATCTGTATAAAGATGCATCTCTACTCGAATGAAAGCTCAAGGAGCGATGCTCTGTGGTGGCACGGAAAGGGAGAATCTAAAGCATGGATTTGTGGCTCATCCCCGGCTCCTTCCGTAGGAGTGAAACAGGCAAGTATGCCATCTACTGCCAGAGATCCGTGGAGCGCACGGTGCACGCTGGCGAGCGGGAGGCCAAGCCTTCCCGCATGGAGATCGTGTCCATCCTTCTGAGGAACCCCTACCACCACTCGCTGCCCTTCAGCATCCCTGTGCACTTCATGAACGGAACCTACCAGGTGAGCGGCCCCATCTCTTCTGGGGGTTATGGGGCTGCACTGTAATCCCCCTTCCTCCTGGGGGGACACAGTGGTGTTCCCACACATCAAGCATTTGGAGATGAACACTGTTTCCCCTCCATGCCATTCCTAGTCATACCTTCTAAGAAGGTGAAAGGAGTGCATCCTTACAAGACTTGTGAAGAAAAGATACTTGTAGAAATGGGAGAACTGTTATAAACATCTCAGTAAGGGAAAGAGTGCACCCTAAAGGGAGATGATGCCCATGTGTAGCCCTGGGGGAAGACTTCAGCTGGAGCTGGTGGTCAATCACCAGTCTGTAGGAAACAAGGCTTCATTAGTTTTGGTAGTCATCAGTGTCTCATATTTTGAAAGTTCTGTTGCATCAGCTCATGTTTCGTTCCAGGTTGTAGGCTTTGATGGTTCCTCCACAGTTGATGAATTTATCCAGCGGCTGAACCAAGAGACAGGAATGAAGAAGCCATCCCACAGGGGATTTTCTCTCTTCACAGATGATCCTTCTGGCAGGGATTTGGAGCACTGCCTGCAGGGCACCATGAAGGTAATCTTTGTTATCTCTTACAGGCAGAAGAGCTGCTCTGAGTGAATGCTGGGTTTTTTAATGCATCGAGATCAAACTCAGGTATTGCTCTCTACATTAGTATTCAGAGATGAGATGTTAATTAGCAGACTCTAATCTGAGACACTAGTTAAGACAAAGCACATTCTATTTTAGTAGGTGATAGATTGGTAAACTGAAGAAAAAAAACCAATGCTCCTTTCTCCCACTCCCAGCAGGCTTTAAGTCCCTGGATGGCCACCTTAAAGAGATGAGCTAGTTGCCATGAGTGACAAACAAGAGATTTTGGCATTAACATGGGGGAATAATTTGTCTTATAGACACTGGTGGAGGAATAGTAGAAATGGCTATTTTGAAGAGACCCTCGTATCTGTAAGGAACATAAATGTTCACTTTTACATGGTGTTAAATTTTACATTGAGTAATGTAAGAAGAAAATGCCAGTGACTTTAACATGGATGTTGTGAAGAGGCAACTGCCACACAGGTTCCCAAATGAAAGGCCCTGCCTTTGTGCCCTGGCTGTCGACTGGATGATATGGGACTTTGCTGGCAATGTAGCCACCTTTTGGAGAGATGAGATATTAGAGTAAGTGATGGAGATTGAGATGATCAAAGGCATTGCTTCCACTGGTTAGATCGCTGGCTAAGACAACCTCAGTAGCTTCATGAGAGAGGCTTAGGGTTTATACTATTACAGTTCATGTGGCTTCTTAAGTTAATATTCCCTCTGCTATCAGAAGAGGACTAGAGACCATTATTAGACCATGTATGGGAGAATGGGAATAGCCCGGTGAAGAGAATTGTAACAGGAGATTAACTTTACTTTGGACAGTCCAATCCCAGAGGTTGGGCTTAGCCCGGCAAAGAGACAGCTGCCCTTCAGAGGGTGCTTCCTCACTCATGCTCCAGTTTGGCTCAGGAGGATACATCTGAAGCCAACCTCCCAGGCAATCCCCCTGGCCACACTTACATTGTGGAACCATCCTAGAGAGCGTGAACTGGATTTTTTTTCACATGAAACACGAGCTGGGAGATGTTATCCAACATACTGGGTTTTTGGGCCATGTGACCAGACTAAAGGAAAATCCTTTAAAACACAATTAGTGAAGCATGGCATCTTAGGAAGCACTGTTCCACTGTGCAGATCTGTTTCTCATGGACTGTGCTACTTGCTAACACAGACCTAGCTGGGACTAGACTGGACTTTACTTGCAGATTTAAAATGGAGTTTTCTGTTGAAACTCTTACGTACTGTAAAAGAAAAAGGAATCGGTTTGTCACTTTTGGCAATGTTTATGCTGAGCCTTTATATTTCTTCATCTCTATTTTCCACAGTATCATTTTTCTCTTGCTTTCCCCGCAAACTATAACTCTACATTTTCCTACACCTTGTCTGTCACCTCTTTTTTAATTAATATATATATATTTCTTTATATTTTAAGATTTGTGATGTTATTTCTAAATGGGAACAAGCCTTAAAGGAATTGCACCCTGGGAAATATGAAGGTGGCACGAGAATAGTCAAGCTGACCTATAAGAACAGGTACTGTGTTCCCCTTTTTGTGCTTTTGTTAATTAAGTGTTGGTAGACTGAATATATCTCTGTAGATGGCCAATAATTTTATAGTGTCAAAACTGCTTTAGCTAATAGGCATGAGGCCCTATGTAAGATGCAATAACTTCTGTACGTGTGTGGTAGACATGTGAAAGAGGATATTTAGAGAGATCTCTAGAGATACTTAGAGATAAAACCCCAAATGCTGTGCAGTAGCAGAATAGACCCAAAACATGTTAAGTACTAGCTAGAGCACAATAAAACATACTTGGCAGAATTTCATTTGCCTAGATCCTAAAACATAATTAAATAACGTGTGTTAGGTGAGAGGAAGAGACACCTCAGGGAAATCACTGGCAAAAAAGAGTAAGCTGAAACTTGTGCTTAAATAAAGAGTCGTGAAGATGAAACAGATAAGATGACAGTGTTTTTGTGCTCTGAAAGGCAGGACCTGTAGAGAGGACATGTAATAGCAGTGCCCAGTTTGTATAGAGAAAGAGAAATGCTGATGTTGGATGAGGAGAGATAGAGAAGAAAAGAAAGAGACAAAGATCTGCAACAGAATCTGGAACATGTCCACAATTTATAATGAAGAGAGGAATTCTGAATTAAAGACAGTGCTGTGTGTGAGAACTAGGAAGTGGCTTTCTGCATGCCAATTCTGTATCACAGAGCAGAGAGAAAAAGGCTACCCAAAAATCAAAGGAGCAGCACTGTCTTGTGTTGACTCTTGGAAAATTTGTGGTGGTTGCACTGGTGAAAATTAAGCTTATGGGAACATTGTTAGTTGATGCCACAGAAACAGAAGCAGAAGTGATGGCTTTTGACGCAGACGGCGGTATTTGTTTCAGCAGTGAAACCTTGCAGGAGGGTGGTTTGTTGGACTGGAATGTGCCTAGACTGGACAGCAAGGATGTTTGATAAGGTCTGTCCAAGGCTGGGCTGTTCTAACACCAAGGACTCTGATTAAGGCAAGGAAAGGTCGCTGCAGTCCTAACAGGGGGTCCTCCTGAATTGACAGACATAAACAACCTGATCTTTAACCACTGGAATGAAGTATTTTGTGTGCTGCTGTGTAACATATGGTCATAGACATAACTTCAGCGTTTGAATTAGACAGTGTGGGCTGTAAATAGGCATGCATGGTTCTGGGAATGGTTCTGGGAAGCATCCTCACACTGATGTCTTTGATTAATCATCTTGTACTACCAGGTCAAAGAGATAGTGAGTGTGGAGTGACTAAAAGCCACTAGGAAGACTTGGTTTCCAAGAATGATTCTTTAATTTTAACAATAAGGATGGTTAATTAAGTCTTACTTCTTGCTGAAGCAAACTGAAGACTAAGATCCATTTTACTGTAACTGGATATGAAAAAAAAAAATAAATTAACTGAGCTGTTATCTGATCTTAGTTGGGTTTATCTCATCTTAGTTTGTGAGGGCTGTAATGAATATAAGAAAGGCCAGGCTGCCATAAGGAAGCTTATAAAACACTCGCCATGTTTCCCAGCAGAGGCAGCTCTATATTTTGCAATAAACAGAGAAATTCAAGCCCTACATCTGAAGTGTTGCCTGTTTGCCCCTGAGAACAGGGGAAACATGATGCTTCTTCATTTCTTCCAGTTTTGCTGCCTTGAAGGGGTTGCCTTGCAGAATTCACGTGGTTTCCAGAGCTGGACAGTGTGCTTGGAGCCTCCTTGCCCCAGTCTTGTTCATAAAGGAAACACCTCAGTTTGCCAATCTCTCTGTCCAGTTCTCTCTTAATGCAGGAGAAGGGGGGGCAATGCTTTTATTTTAATCCTCCTTCATTAAAATTTCCAACTCTATTCTCAGTTCAGAACTATTTTATTTTTTATTTTATTTTTTATTTTATTTTTTATTTTATTTTTTATTTTATTTTTTATTTTATTTTTTATTTTATTTTTTATTTTATTTT